CCCGCACAGGTACAAATGTAGACTAGTCGCCTTTAATACCGCACAGGTACAAATGTAGACTAGTCATCTTTAATACCCACACAGGAACAAATGTAGACTAGTCGACTTTAATACCCAAACAGGTACAAATAGAGACTAGTCGTCTTTAATACCTCAACGGTACATTTTAAAAGCCTATTAATAATTAAAATTTACAAAACACATTTTTTTATATATAGTTTTATATATAGTTTTATTTTCACATTTATTTTCAGGTAACCAACTTATTTGGAGAAAAAAAGTAAAAAATATCTTTGTGATATAAACATAAACCATAAATATTTCATTTTTATATACCATTGTTGTCAGCTAATTAAGTTGCTGACATTTTTTGGGTATTTTTATTTTGTTTATGTTATGTTTATTACTTTTTTTTTATAAAAGTCGAGCGCATATGTGTAATATATATAAATCCACATTTAAAATTTTATACAATAATTATAAAAATTCAACAAATTTTACCGATTCCCCAAAAAAAATTAAGCTGTTTAATAAGAATTTTTAGAAAAACTTTAGGTGTGCAGTTCTGTAGCCGATTAAATTTTAGTAGCATAAAGTGGAAGATTCAAGACGCGTCTTGAAACTTTCACTTTATTCTACTAAAATTTAATGGGATATAAAACTCCATATCAATCATCTTTCTAAAACTTCTAAATTAAATTTTGATTTTTTTGGGAATCGGTAAAATTTGTTGCATTTTTATAATATTTGTACAAATTTTAAATGTGGATTTATATGCTGCTACTACACATATGATGCGCCCGACTTTTATAAAAAAAGTAATAAACATAAAATAAACAAAATAAAAATATCCAAAAATTGTCATCAACTTAATTAGTTCACCGCAAGTGTATATGCATACTTAAACTGCTAATTGCTTTTAATGTTAATTTCGTTTTTCTTATTTTCTATAATTCGAATTTTCCATAGTTATAGCATGATAAAAATATAGGAAGGTAAAACTGCTGTGAGGAATTTTTCAAATTCTTGACGTTTGCAAGCAATTTAATTTTAAACTCACACACACATTCTCATTTTCAATCTCAAACAACAAAAACAATGAACAATTTCTTCTTTTTACTCTCAATTTTATATGATTTTAAAATGTTGGCAAACGTCAGAAAAAAATCATGGCCGACGAATTAAGAGAACGGTTTTACCTTCTAATGTTTTTATCATGGTTAAGTCTTAGACACAGTCTTAGGCACAGTGAGTTCCGTAAAAATGGAACAAAAAAAAATTAATAAAATAAATAGTAAGTTGCAATTACTACGAAAAAAACATAAATCACAGTTCCAAACTTTGTACAAAAACAATGATATTAATATTATCAAACGCTAACCTCCCTATTATGAATTCGTACGCTGCACGATAGACGCTTGCATTCTGTTATTCTCTATTACGAATCGATGTTGTCGTATGAAATCCTATAATTAGCGTAGCTGATTTGTGCTGGTTCACAATAAAAAGTCGGTCTGTCGGTCATATGAAAACGATTATACGATTATACGAGAACTGATTTCGTACGATACGCTTGCAAGCGTTTATCGTCTATCGTGTGAAAATTCATGATAGGGGGGTTAGTGAAAAACTTAAAAACTTCAGATTTCCTCAGTTCTTTTGACACTTAAGAATAATTTAAGAACTTAATTCTCCTTGTTCTTTTGCTTTTCGCGGTAAAGTTTTTTAAAATATTTAGCCTTTTCAAAATGGATGACTTTTCTAAGCATCTCTTCCGGCGTCGATCCCTTGAATGGTAACTTGGCAACGGCTCCTGAAAATTTTATAAAAAAATTTCATTTAAACTAAAAAGAAATCATAATTTATTAGAATGAAATTTTGCGATTTACCTGTCAACACGGTATAAAAGTTTGGAAATTTTTTTAGCCCAATTTTTCCATGTGAACCATCAAGGTTTAAGGCTACAATGACGTCCGTTTTTAAGACGAGTGAAATATTTTTCATGTTATTACATAAAATTGATGCTATTACAGATTCCTGTAAATAGGTACAATAAATATTACAAATTTCGTTCACACATAAATAAATAACTAGCGTACATATACATCCTTGTTGGCAGAAGAAATTTTTGCCTCAAGCTCCTCCATTTCCGCTATATCGCAGACAGGGAAGTATTTTGCCACAGGTACATTTTGCGTCTCTTGGCGAACCAATTGCTGTGTAACCACTTTCTGGCTTGCAATCGCATCCATAATCGCGGTGTTTTGCCTTTCGACAGTCAAAAGGAGCTGATCCAGCTTCTCATCAATTGTTTCAAGTTGCTTCTCAAACAAATTGCAGTGGCTGCAACACACAACTTCCAAAACGCCTTCGGTGAGTTCTATAAGTAATATATTTAAAAACGCTGTAACTACAATCGGCTAACCAATAATAACTATGTACATACATATATATTGCCACCTAAACTGCAAAAAGGCATAACTAACAAACTTTCTTTTAGATAAAACGATGTGGGGACTTGTAATTCGATGAAATGTATCATAGTCAATCAAAAATAATATTTTGGATTTTTTTCAGTTACGACCTTTTACAATTCAGTTGGCGATATGTATGTACATACATATGTTTTTCATATACATCTGCAGCGAAAATAATAGCAGTGCTACGTATTAATAAAGTTTTAAACTTCGGTTTAAATATATGGTTTTGATTGGAGAATAAACCACCAAGAGGTAAGAGGCTGGTAGCTTAAGTTTTACGTCACGTACATATGTATGTATATAATTAAAAAATGTACCGGGGTTATATCCAATGGTCGACGTCGAAATGCTGATTCTACGTGATTCTAAAAATATAATGAAAGTTAAGCATAACGAACACAAAAGTATGAAAATTTCACATTGCAGAAGTTTATTACCTATTGTACATTCATTGACGTGACTTATACCGCTTGTCCCCGGGTTAATAGTCTTGTTCGCATCTAAAATTGATTTTAAGCTTATGTACTAATCTAATTAATAAACAATCTATACTTACATTTTGCCTTTTTTGCTGGGATGGCCGCCATCGAGGTGCTGCGGTTTTGCGCTCCGAATTTTTTTAGAAAGTGCTCGAAAATAAAAATAAATTTATTATTGATCTCGTATTTTAACAAAAAGTAAGAAAAGTATAGTTAAAAAAGTAAAGTAAAAGTAAAGTCTTTTAAGACATAAATTCCATAATAGAAAAGGAACATGCGGAATTCGGTAGCTTTCCAATTTGCTATTTCATCCAAATGTCTTGGTTTTCGTACAAATTTCCGAGATATTTGATTACGAATTGCCCACATTTTGAGTTTTTCTTGGAAACGTAATTCCGTTGAGCAACTTGGCTCATCCGGAGGCATTTCTTCAATTTCGGCAATTCTAGCAACTTCCGCAGCCGCATATGCCTTAGTTGTACCTAACCTCAATTTCTTCCGGTTTTTTGCTCTTTCATTACTAATTAATCTTCTAAGGTGGCGTCTACTTACCTTATTCATATTGTTCGCTGCTTACTTTTTGTTTTATTTTATGTTTTTTTTTGTTTTTAATAATTTAACTTAAATTTTGTTACGACGATTAAAGTTTTCACCACCACTCTGCGCAATTTATTTTAATCAGCTGTGTCAGAACTAGATACCAACAAGTAACGATTACGCTTTTGTTTAATTTATCGATAGAATTCTTATTGCTTTGCAACTATCCCGATTCATTCAAATGCGATTTACTATATGTATAATTGTACAACTCAGATAAATATTTCCTAAAAATTACCTATAATAAATTTTTAGTTTAATTATGTATATATACTAACCTATGTAAAAATTTAATGTTTTCATTTGCTTTTGTCTTGCCCATATTAGTTATCACTAAATTAATCGATATACATATGGGACCATGAGAGCCAGAGTAGCCTAAATCCCTTTTTTTTTTAAAAGTGAGAAGGTTGCCAGCAAAGCATAGTTCAAAACGTATCTCTTATTGCCAGAGTAACCACCTTTTAGCTTTTTCATGACTACGTTTATACGCACGTATTATTTGCAAATAACAGTTTTCAAAATGGTAAACTTTGCTGCATAAACGCTAAGTTAATTTTTTATTTGCAAATAACTAAATCACGCAAATAAATATTGATTAGTGGTACTATTTGCAAATAAGCGCAAGACACCGCCATTCTTCACCATCTAATAAAAAACAGTAAGTTAGGTATTTGCAAATTATTTTTATTTGCAAATAGCTTACGTATAAACGTAGTAATAGTTAGCAACAGAAAGCTGGAACAAATATTTTAGATTTTACCAAACAAATGTTAGGTTGTTCAATTGCCTCATCATGTTTACTATTATTGTAGAAAGGCTACTCTGGCTCTCATATTACTTCGTTTTCACCAAATTGATCGCTATATATGACAGATTTTGCCAATCATTATCTTACAGTATGTAGCTATTGCATATTATGTGCAAAACTCGATTTAAATGCTGTATCGTTCATCAGCTATGAATTAAACATTTTATTAAAAGTATTGTTATCAACGTGTTTTTTTATTACGCACATTGCTGTATACTTTTTTGCAATAATAATCGATATAACAGAAATGCACTAACAATAGAGGAAAACAATCGATACTAACAATACAACCATCGATAGTTTCGAGTTTCTAGTTTTGCAACTTTGGGAACAGTGTTGCCGACTCTAGTTGCCTTTGTTAAAATTTCAAACAAAAGTTCCCTGTGTGGCAATGGATACATACATATAAATCAACTAAAACCTTCGTTTAACAATAATTTCTTTTAACTTAAAAAATAAATATCTTTTTAAGTTATGTTGTTTTTAGCGCATATTTTCATAGAGTATTGTCGCAATAGAAGTGATTTATGTGTCTGATTTCAGTTTTATTAATTATAAATATCGCTTCATATACATATGTAAGTATTTAAATTCAGGCTTGCAAAGTCTTTTACATATTCGTATAATAATTCATTATCGACATTGGTTACGTCATCTCTTTGAATGATGTATGCGTGAAAATATTATGTCGATGAAATGTCCCCTTCATTTGTAAATAGCTCCACAAAAGGGAAATTTCCGTAACTTAACAACACTGCTTGGAAATATAAAAAAAGTGTCAAAAAATGCAGAAACTATAAAATGAAGTGAAGTGAATTACAAAAGTTAGTTTTTATGGCAATATTTCTGTGCAAAACCGTAATGAATTAATTAATATTAATTATTTTGCAGTATGCAGCTATTGTATATTACGTGCGTTCATAAAAGCGAGCTACGCAGTTGCTACGAAGCTCTGCAATTGGCTATTTGTGCACAAGTTGGAGCGTTTTGCAGTGGCTTGGATAATAAGGTATGATGGTAGTTTTAAGTATGTACTCCCAAGCATTAAATGGTTGCTATTATTTATCTTGCTCCAAAGTGCAACCCCGCTACCTGATCGTCCTCGCCAGCGCCGTTTAGGTCGGCGAAGTATCTCAGAAGTTGTCCGTCCATAGGGCAACATTCACTACGCATTCTCCTACTCAGGGCTGGCATCGAGTCAAACCCTGGGCCAGAAATATACACCTGCTGTGTATGCCGAAGACGTTTACACCACAACTCCACCTCAGTCAAGTGTAATGCCTGCGAGGGGTGGAGTCACCTCAGGGTCTGCTCGGGACTACGGACACACAGACAGTGGACCACGTCGTACGTGGCCCCCTGTTGCTCAAATAGAGCAGCCTCCACGGCAACCCATAGTCCGCCCGTGCAGCCCCACACACTCACACAGCAACCACACACAGTCGCCACAACACAACAACATACCACAGCCACCACAGACCACATAACACACACAACCGCACCACCACCCACACGCCGCCGCCAACAACTCCTGGTTCCCCCTACAATCTGCACGGTATGTCAGACCAGAATATTCCGTAATGTGACATCAGTCAAGTGCAACACCTGCCTTGGCTGGTGCCACTTTAGGGCATGTTCAGGTCTGCGCACCACGCGAGATTGGACGGGGAACTTCGAGGGCCCGTGTTGCGCTGCTCGGTCGCTGACATCAATTGCGACGCCCCCCACTACCACCACAGGGAGGCAATCACCTCAGCAGCACACACAGCCAACGGCGGCAAGAACATACACCTCACTCACACCCCACATCACAACACGTCTCCCGAACCACATGAAGCTCCTCCAATTCAACTGTAACGGGCTACAGAGCAAGATTGAGGAGATAACCGCCTTTATGTGTCGGCATGGTATATTAATAGCTGCGGTCCAAGAGACGAAGTTGCACAGCAATTCGACTTTGTTGAATTGTGCCGGCTACAACGTGCACCGTCGAGATCGCGAGCGAGATAATGGTGGTGGCTTAGCGTTCATCACGCACCACACCGTGCAGTATCGTCTTATCGAAGCAGACATCGACCGCAGGGATACCACCCTAGAATGTCAGGGCATCGCTATCCGGTCAGGCGATGTCGAGCTCGAAATATTTAATATATACATACCCCCTGTCACCTGCTGCCCGGCAGGATATCACCCTGATATAGGTGCGCTCCTCAGAGGTGAAAACCGCATGGTAGTAGGTGACTTTAATGCGCACCACGATCTTTGGCACTCAAGCCTGTCAAACGATCGTAGGGGAACAGACTTGGCTGAGCAGATAGACGATTCGACATTCTGCACAATGAACGACGACGCACCCACCAGGATTATGGGTAACTGCAGTAGCTCGCCAGACATCACAATAGTCAGCGCTGGTCTGATAAACAGCATAACGTGGCGACCTATGCTGACTCTAGCATCAGACCATCTACCCATAGTCATCTCGATTGATAAACCAACCGACTTTGCCTCCGCCAAACACCGGACCTATGTCAACTTTTCTAAAGCTGACTGGAAAGGTTACGCGGAGTTTACTGAAAACACCTTCACATCGCTCCCCACACCAACCGACGTTCATCTCGGTGAACGTAAGTTCCGCAGGGCTATCACTGCTGCTGCAGCTCGCTTCATACCGGCAGGGTGCATGTCGGACCCACGTCCAAACTTCCCTGCCGAAGCGGCTGTTTTAGCAAATGAGCGTGATAGCCTTCGTCAGGCCGATCCCGGAGATCCCCGTATCAGGGATCTCAACGCGGAGATTCGGCAACTTGTAAACGTACATAAGCGGAAGAAGTGGGATGAGCATCTGAAGACTTGCAACTTCACCTCTGGTGTGAGCAAGCTTTGGTCAACCGTGAGGTCATTGTCTAATCCGACGAAGCACGACGACAGAGTCGAAATTTCCTTCGGCGACCATGCTTCGTCGGACCCGGAGCGATGCGCGAGCTATTTTAGCCGGCAGTTCATACTGCATCCTCCGGTGGACAAAGCCAAGCGTCGAGTGACCAGAAGGCTGCACAAACTGCCAACAACTTGTGCCCCCCTTGCTTTCACTTGCGGTGAAGTTCAGGTGGCCATCGGGAAGGCGAAAGCCTCCAAAGCCATGGGTCCCGACGGAATATGCATGCTGATGCTGAAAAATTTGGGTCCTGCGGGGGTAGCGTACCTAACGGAGGTCCTCAATTTGTCAATGGCCACTCTCATCATCCCAGACATCTGGAAGGTGGGGAGAGTGGTCCCACTGCTCAAACCGGGGAAACCTGCAAACAAAGGAGATTCGTATCTCCGATTACACTCCTTTCCCCGGTAGCGAAGACACTCGAGGCCTTGCTACTCCCGTACTTCACAAATCACCTGACCCCAGCGAAGCATCAGCATGGTTTCCGTAAAGTGCACAGCACAACAACAGCACTTAACGCCATAAACACTCAGATAACTCGTGGCCTTAACCGTAACCGTCCCTGTGAGAGAACGATTCTAGTAGCGTTGGACTTGTCAAAGGCGTTTGACACCGTCTGCCATTCCACGCTACTAGAAGATATAGAGGCCTCCTCTCTCCCACAGAGGCTCAAACGGTGGTCGGCAAATTATCTAAGTGGTCGACATTCGTCGGTAATGTTCAGAGACAAAACGAGTAAGCAGCGAAAAATAAAACAGGGGGTTCCTCAGGGTGGTGTCCTTTTCCCACTACTGTTTAACTTTTATATTTCAAAGCTCCCTCAACCACCAGAGGGAGTCTCGATTGTCTCCTATGCCGACGATTGCTCGATTATGGCGACTGGGAATGGAATTGATGACCTGTGTTCGAAAGTAAACGGCTATCTCTCCGAACTATCTCGCTTCTTCACTGCAAAGTGTCTAGCCCTCTCCCCTACGAAATCCTCCGCGACCCTGTTCACAACCTGGACGAAGGAGGTCAGGCTACCGCTGGGGATTCACGTCGATGACACACCAATTCCGACGGTGAATAACCCCAAAATACTCGGAGTAACATTCGACAGCCTGCTCTCCTTCTCTGCGCACTCAACCGCTATTGTCAATAAAGTACAGAGCCGCAACAAGGTCCTCAAGTCACTAGCCGGCAGTACTTGGGGCAAAGACAAAGAAACGTTGCTGGCAACATACAAGGCAATAGGCCGGCCGGTTTTGAACTACGCAGCGCCAGTGTGGTCGCCTGGGACTAGTAGGACGCAGTGGACGAAGCTACAGACCGCACAAAACACCGCACTGAGGACAGCGACGGGATGCCTCTTGATGACGCCTGAACACCACCTGCACGGCGAGGCGCAAATGCTCCCGGTAAAGGAGCACAATATAATGCTCTGCAAGCAGTTCCTGATCGGGAGCCACAGAAGTGGCCACCCGAGCAGATAGCTGCTTGCAGAGGAGCCCTCGCCTAGGCACGTCAGGAGGCATCTATATGAACTAACGGACGAAGTCCAGAGGTTCATTAAGCAACCTCTGGACCCGACAGCCTACAGACAGGCCTTGAACGGCATTCACAGGGACTCAGTCTCGAGTTATGTAGACTCTAGACCTGTGAATGCCGTTCTAGGCACACCACCCCCGGACATTGACGAGACGGAGCTTCATCTGCCTCGGGAGACGCGCACTACACTTGCACAACTTCGCTCTGGCTACTGCAGCAGGTTAAACTCCTACTTGAGTAGGCTGAATGAGGATGTGCCGAACGAATGTCCGGCATGCGGAGAGACCCCACATGACTCGAAACATCTCTTCGCATGCCCGGCAAACCCGACATCCCTAACGACCTTGTCCTTATGGGCAAACCCCGCAGAAGCTGCACGCTTCCTAGGGTTGCCGTTAGTGGAACTTGACGACAACGACTGAGATACCAACCGATCTGGGCGGGGTTGTTGTAGCCGCTACAACAACAACAACAACAAAGCGACAAACACACCCCGCTATTTCAAGGATCAACGCGATGCAAGCACATTTCGCTTTACCTCCATTGCTCCATCCAGCCGCAATAAGGTTCGTTTGAACTTACACCAGACACAGTGACGTAAAATGGGAAGCATGCTTCGCAAAACATCTTCCGAATGAAATGAAGGTAAGCAAAAAAAGCTTAAGAAATATAGGAAAATGTTTACGATTTTGATTCGGGTTGATTTGGGTACAGCAAATCAAAATCATTGTACAAATAACTAAACCGTACCCGAAATGTAATTTTTCAACTACATCCTTTATTTACTGTTTTTTTAATTATAGGATGCAACCGGCAAGGATACTACAGTTTCTAATTCGGTTTCTATATTCCCAGCAGAGACCTACGTTCACAACGCCATCAACTCCAGAATCGGCTCCAAATAATGCAATCGCTTTACAGTGCATGAATGCAGCAGAAGCCATTACTTTTAACCTAATCCTAATGTGACGCAATGTTAAAGAGCCCCCACATGCAATTTAATTTAAAAAAATTCTGCAAAATCGATGACAATTAATGCCATTTGATTAAACTCCCTTCTTTTTTTATCGAAATATGCATTACATATAGAGTTTAATAAAGGCATTAATTGCCATCGATTTTGCAGAAATTGTTTTAAATTAAAATGCATAAAAATTACATATTTCTTTTAGTTATAAATTCTTTAAAAAAAATTAAATTTTTTTACCATAATTTCTGTTTTGTGTACGGCCTTGTGCGAGTGCAGAATACATGTACGCAATTCACAAAGTTGTAAGCCAAGGCTTTTTTTTTTGTAAATGGTTAAAA